AACATAAAATTTCATATTTCAATTATCAGTAGGTCAAATATACCTGTTTCTGCTTATTATTATTTATTATCATTATTATTATTATTATTATTATTACTATAAGAATAAATGAATTCCATCAAAACTTTGGGTGTCTACCACACGATTGTGGTGAAGATGCCTGTGAATTATAAAAACAAAAGGCTTATTTTAAGTTGAGTCAAGTATGCAGATAACATCTTGTTCACCCATCTTCCTGTGGATGGGCCTGTGGACTGTTTCCTGCGTGTGGATATTGGGAATACGACTTCTGTGGACTTCCTTGGTAACATACATTTTTCCTTGCTCTGTGTAAATACTTAGGAGTAGAATACTTTGGGTATGTGTAACTTCTCAAGACACCGACAAATTGTTTTGCAAAGTAATCGTACCATTTTATACTCTCGATAGTTATACAGAAGAGTTTTATTGCTCCGAAATTTCGCCAGTGTTTATCATTCTCAGATTTCTTTATATTTCAGTCATTTTGTTAGGTGTCAAATCAGTTGGTAGTAACTATGGCTTTAATTTGTCATCCCCTCATAATTCATAATGTTGAGACTTCTCATCTTTATTGATGTATCTTTTTCAGTGAAAGTAAAATCTCTTGCCCTATTTAGATTGTGCATGTTTTACATATGCTGATGTGCAAAAAATTTGTAGTATGTTGTCAATACAAGTTCTTTGCCAGATAGCTGTAAGGTGAGAAGTTTTTCAGGCTTACTTATTCATTTTTTTAAAGTAGTGACATTGATGAGCAGACTTTTTAATTTTGATGACATTTATCAATTTGTCTTACATGGTTAGTGTTTCTTGTGTCCTAATAGACGTTAAGTATATATTCTTCTTAAATATTTTGTGTCTTATTCATTCTCATGAACATATATGTATTGCTTACCTCAAATAATGGAGATAGTCTCCTATTATTTTTATGAAATATATAAGGCTTCAACTTTTATATTTGGGCCTATGGCCATTTATGAATTAGTAATTGTTTACAGAATCATGTAAAAGTCAAAGTCTATTAATTTATTTTTTCATAGAGACTGCTATTCCGGCAACATTGAGGAAAGAAAGAGAAAACATTAAATTGTCATAGCGCCTTGGTCACAAATCCCTGACTGCTGCCCAGCCTGGTGGCGCAATTGCTGGCAAACGGAACTGCAGGGCCGAAGTCTCGTGGCTGGCTGTGGGTTTGACTCTTGCAATGGTCTGAAAACATGCCGGTACATGCGCACATGTCCAAGCTAGACAGCCAGACATGTGTAACAGTGAACCTGGTTGCTGTGACATGTTAAGGGTGTTTCCATTGCCTCTTCTACCTGAGTAACACAGGTAACCTTACCAGGTAAATCGGGGCCATTTCACTGGTAGAGCAGGAAAATGCAGCACTCTGTGAGGTAATCCCACATAGGAGGGTTCCCAGTTCTAGTCTGCGAACTTCTCGGAGTATCCCCGGGGGACATGCGTGCCCGTGCTCAGGAGCTGGGTTGGTCACGGTCCAGGACCCTGTTGAATGTTCATCTCTCTCTCTCCCCTGCTCATGGAAGAAATAAACTTTAAAAAATTCATTCACTGTGTGTGGGTCTACAGTTATTTTACTATTATCTGCCATTTATATGTTTATGCAAACATCACATTGTCATGATTAGTATCGTCTGTTTGTGAACCTTCAAGTCAGTTTGAGTCTTCCATCTTTCTTCTTCTTTTTCAAGATAATTCTGATCATTCTAGATTCTCTGCATTTTTGTAGAAATGTTAGAAACAGTTTCTCAGTTTCTCTGAAAATTAACCTGGGACTTGGATTGGGATTGTGTTTATACACACACACACACACACACACACACATATATATATATATATATATATATTCTATAAACTCTACAGTTTGCAGAGGATAGCTATGTTAACAGTAATGAGACACCCTCCCCCAAACCATATATGGTATATCTTTTCATTTGCAAGGGGACTTTCATTTCTTTCAGCAATATTTTATAGTTGTCATAGTAGATATCTCATATATCTTCCAAAGAATTCATACTTTGATATTTTAGTGCTATTATAAAATGAAATTTTTAACAAACTTTATTTTCTAATTTCCATCCCTGTTATATAGAATTAAAATTGTTCTTTGTGTATTAACTTTGTTTTTATGCCCTTACCTTGCTAAACTCAGTATTTCCAGCATTTTCTTTCTCTTTCTCCAGCATTTTCTCTGCAGGAGGGATCTCTTTCCATCCTTCCTTTCTTCCTCCCTCCCTTCCTTCCTCTTTCTTTCCTCTTTCCATCCTTCCTTTCTTCCTCCCTCCCTTCCTTCCTTCCTTCCTTTCTTTCTTTCTTTTCTTTCTTTCTTTCTTTCTTTTTTTCTTTCTTTCTGCCTTTCTCCCTTTCTCTTTCTTTCTTCTTTTCTTTTTCTTTATTTTCTCTCTTAAGGTTTTGCCGTAGAGAGCAGGAGCTTGCTGGAGAGAGTGAGAGGGGAAGTGAGAAATCACCCTGCAGGAGGGATAGCCACACCCAAGTCCTTTCTCCTCCATTCTCCTCCTGGGACTTGTACTCGCACAGGTGCACAGTGTGATTGTCAAGCTGCTAGGTCTGTGGTGGGCCATGTGGGCGTCCAGTGCTTTTACCACTCTGCCATCTGCGGGCCTCAGTCTTTTTTTTTTTCTTTTTTTTGAGATTTCAAAGGTGATTTATCCAGCCACGCCCTATGTCAAAACCAGTGGTTTTCTTCTTCCTTTCCGAACTTCATGCCTATTTTCATTTCTTCACTTATTGTAAAAGCACTTTCTTGGTTGACTTGGTACCAATCTTAGGAAAAAGCACTATGTTTTTGTTCATCACAAAGTTGCCTGTAGATTTCTTTCCTGTAGATGTTCTTTATCAGATCAAGAAACAATATTCCTTTTCACTCTTTTCTTAGTGTTACTACCGCAGAAAACGTGTTGAATTTTGTTAGGCTTTTTATTTGTTTTTCGCTACTTAAGACAACTACCTATTTTTCCATAGCTGTATGGTGAATTATTTTGATTGGGTGAGATGAATGAACATCGCTACCTTATTAAACCTCTTCCTGTCCTCTGTGGCTTTCGCTCTTCATTTTTCTTTGAAAACGGCTCTCCCACACTATAAAAATCTAGAAGCACGCATTCTCTGACCGCCTTTTCTTTTAAGCACTTTGAAGTGTCATGCTCCGACGCTGCTTCCTCTCTACCTCCCAGTAGTGAAGCCCCTCAGTAACTAGGTCCTGGCAGGCGGCCTGGGCCAGACCTGAGCACCTGAGACACGCAGGCCCAGGCCCGCGCCCGGTCTTGGCTTCACCGGAGCCGCGGTGTCCTGGGGACCCGGCCTGGCTGGGCTGG